AATACTACAAGTCAGTTCTCCAATTATGAGAGTTTTAACTATTACTTTCATTTGGCAAGTTTTTAGGCAGAGAAATGAACTATGGATTCCAGCTAAAACTGTTAATAATGATTATTAATGAAATGGCATTCTAGATGATATAGGACTAAGAAAATACAATATTGCTCTAGGGAGTCCAAAGTATTAAGAGTAACCAGCTGTGGTGGTATGCACCTGCAACCCCAGATACTTGGGAAGCTAAGGTGGGACAATCCTTTGAGCCCAAGAGTTTAAGACCAGCCTGGGCAACATAGTGAGATCTTGTCTCTAAAAACAAAAACAAAACCAACCAACCAACAAACAAATGAACAAAAGTATTAAGGCAGAGTTAAGGAAGAGAGAGGAGCTGCTTGCAACCAACTAGGATTTACCCACACAACTGGGGGCTGCTATGTTCTTGATTTTGAGGACTCTGGCTCCCTTGAGCTTAATTGTGCCTTTAATGTCCATAGAGGAACTTTATAACTGCATTCAGCTTGGCTGAGCACCATCACCTAGTACCATCCAGTGGTGTTCTGGAGCTGTCCTGTACTGATTCAGAAGAGTCCACTACAGTATTTTCAAAAGCTAGTTGTTAAACAGCTGATAGCTTGAAATTGGCTATGGTGGGAATATTTACACAATAGAAATTGGCAAATGTTTCAAATCAGCCCTCCTCTCCCAGGTGGCTGTTAAAAACATACTAACACACTGTTGCCCACCGTTCAATTACATCTCCTTTACCTTCACCCAGGTTCCTTCATAAAGAAGCCATAATTTTCAAGTGGAGAAAAAGGCTGATGATAATGCATCTGTTCAGATTTGCTTTGGGCAACATATTTCAAACACATTCTCAAGGGTAAATATCAAGAACGTGTACTCAATTATGTTCTAAAAATTTTATGACTGAATAATTTATTTGCTAATAAAATTAAATTTTCATTTGCATAAATTCCCAGATTATTATATTAGATTATTGCATAGATGTTATTCATTCCATGAGTAAAGCAGCTAATATATCATTTTTTTAAAAGGGAATATTTGCTCCCCTTAATCAAGATAATTATATTCTTCTAAATCCTGGCTTTTTTTTTTTTTTTTTTTGCGATTCCCCTCCTTTGAAGGAATTATTTACAAGTCTCCTATTAATGTAGGCGATATGAGGTGTCAACAAACATTTCATCATTTAGGAAGTAAGGATGGCATATCTACCTGAGGATATCACATTTTTTAGAATTCAGAATAATAAATGCAAAGAATTTCCTAATGCTAATATTGCAAAACAACGAGAACTATTCCTAACATAATTCCTTTTCCTTTGCTAAATGATGAAGTTTCTCAATTACAAATTTAAGAGGTGAGACCTTAATGATCTTTAAACTTTGCCTTTCGAATGCAACCAGCCTTATAAGAATGCTTCTGTATGTTCATTTTCAAATTTTTGTAGATTATTTAAATACTCTAACTCCGTTTTTAAAGGATTTTACAAGTGAAAATTAAAAAAAAATTAGGGACTAACACAGGATTGCTATTTATATTTTTCCATGTAAGAACATTTAAAATACAATTATCCACTATTACCACTGTTTCATAGAAAAAAAGTTTTTTAACATTAAAAAAGTAGGAGGTACATCATCTTTACATACATATATATGTAAAACTACATTATATCTACATTCACACAAATTCTAGGCTGTTTCTATTTTCTTATTTTGTCATGGACTAATTGAAAACTTTAAATAGACTAGTGCTTAGGAGCCATTGCTCTAGCTGACAAGTCACTGGAAAGTCCTCTAACCTTTGCTTTTAATCCCTTGTAAATATACATTCACCAAGGACCCCCCACTGCTTCCATTTACATGTATCCTTAACAAATATTATACTTGAATTGTCTTCCTTAGTAGTTCCATTCTAAGACTCTATCTAGGTGCCTCAGAGAAAATAAGAATTACAGAGACTGCAAGAGAAGAGATGGTAGCTACTACTAAAGTCAGAACTGAATCCTAGTGCATGAGACTCTATTACTGGTGTATTGTATGGAAATGATTAAAAGTGAAAAGAAGACTCATATCAGAACACATTTTTACTCAGAAAAGCTTCACATTACATTTGGATTATTTTTCTTTTAAT